AACTAAGGCCCTTTTGACATTGTGCTGTATTTGATTTTTCTATCCCATTGTATTCTTTACGTTAAATCTTATCATTAGAGGTACTATACTTCACGATTGGACTAATAGGATCAAAAATACGTGACTACGGCCCTTTTGACATGTTGCTGTATTTGATTTTTCTATTTCATTGTTTTCGATTGGTTAAATCCTATCATTTGAGATACTGTACGTCACGGTTGGACTTATAGAAACGAAGATATATAACTAAGGCCTTTTTGACATGCTGCTTTTCGGTCTTATTGTATTTTATTGGTTAAATCCTATCATTTAAGGTGCTGTACATCACGACTGGACCAATTGGAGCAAAAATATGCAATATATACCCCGTTATATATCGATACATTTTTGGCAAAGTAACGTAAGTCACAAAAACGATTTGTAGAAAAAACAATTTTTTAATTCAACATGGTTAAACTTATTTAAATTATGACTAAAAAAACTTGTCCTACTTGTCCTAAAAAAGGTTTAAAGTAATTCTAGGCTCACTACACTTTTTCAATATCTTTTTAATAGTAATTGCATTAGTTTAATTGAAAAACATTAAAAAAACACAGAAGTTAAAACATTTCACAAATGTGTATTTAGGTATAAAACAAACAAGCACCCTTGTTTGTTTTATATATCTAAATACACATTTGTGAAGTGTTTTAACTTCTGTGTTTTTTTAAACGATGGTATACAGCCAATTACGGGGTTTTTCCCATTAATTTTGAAAAACATTATTTTCGCCAAAAATGTCACTTACGTTACTTTGCCAAAAATGTATCGATATACCCAATATGTAACCCGTTACTTTTAATCAAACAAGATGCTAGAATGATTTGTGGATGAAAAAAATATATATAAATTTTTAAATTTACTATTTCGTTGTGGATAATAATATATTCAACAGCGATGCCAAATTTCTGGTGCTAAAATGATTGATAATGAAAGTGCGATATACATTCATGTATATAATGGCAGCGAGTAAACGGTAAAACCCTGAACTAAATATATATAATATTTTCACTGTACCATCATTTTAGACTCAAACATTTCCTGGAATAAACTTATATAACTCAGTAACGGATAAAAAGAGAAAGCGGACATTTTAAAATACCAACACGGTATCAAATCTCTAATCATTGAGATGGTTAAAATTCTTGTAACAAGTACAAGAAAAAAGTTATTAAGGTCTTGTAAAGTAGCGTCGATATACAGATGCTACTTTGCAAGACGATGCTAAATTGATGGTAAAAGCATAATTAATGTATCGATGCCAAAATGATAGTAGGATGTATATATGATATATATATATATACACTTCATCTAATTTATATAACGATGCACGTCATCGGCATCATAGCCTGTGACGTCATATGATACCAACACGAAATATTTAGGGTTTAGGTGTGTTCTTTTTAGAATCACTTTACCGAGTACACTGGCATTACAGCCACTAGACATATTTTATTATATACGCGTTGAAATAATATTTAAAAATATCTATTAATGTTAACTTAAAGAAATACACAATAATATGTTTCATTTAAATTGTATAAATCCATTATAAAGAGTTTTATCAAGAACATTTGTTCGGAACACACTGTAACTGTAATCGAACGAAGGTAAAATTTTGGCATAAATTGGTAACACTTATTTGACAGTTGCGGTGTTTACACTTTTTGTACTTTATTATTTTAAATTTAAAAGTGAATACCTCTTGTTTTATATTTTTACCTATTTAATAAAATCTGTTCTTTTTAGAATAAAATTAGTGTGTTTTATTTCAAAAATGTCACGTAAGAATTTAAATAGTCGTTGTAAAGAGATGGTAACACTTTTGCAATAATTATGTGACCAATTTGATTTAAAATGGAGTCAGGATTTTTTTATACTTTGGCAACTATGTCAACTTCGATCTCTGACGTAGATAATGACGTAAGTCGTTATCTAAATTAGATGAAGTATATATATATATATATATATATATATATACTATTCTCGTTTCAACTTCTCGCTCTAATTTCTTGTCATTTGTGATTGTTGCTCCTAGATATTTAAATTCTTTAATCACTTCGAAGTTATGATCATTTATAGTAATGTTTTGCCTTATTCGCCGTCGTTCTTGTTTTGAGACGACCATGTATTTTGTTTTGTCTTCATTTATTTTTAGACCGATGTTTATGTTTAATGCAGCTTCTTCAAAGCTCGAAAAAATATCCTTAATTTCTAATGTTGATTGTGCTACTGCGTCTACGTCATCGACAAAGGCGAGTATGATTTTTGCTCCCAGAGCAGTTATTTCTGGTTTGATTTTTGGATATATTTTTCGCATGACATATTCTAACGCTAGGTTAAACAACAATGGGGACAACGGATCTCCCTGTCTCAGTCCAGAATTTACGCAGAAAACATTTGATATTTTCCCTCTATTCTAATTTATGCAAAAGAGTTACTTACACACATTTGTGTTACCGCAGCTAGTTTCTTGGGTACGCCGAGCTCGATTATTGCCTTCCATAATGTTGCACGATTAATTGAATCATAAGCCTGTTTGAAGTCTATAAAAATCTGATGCATGTCGTGATTATATTCCCAATACTTTTCAAGCATTTGTCTTATTGTAAATATTTGGAAACCACACTGGTAGTCACTAACTATTTCTTCGGCGTATGGTACTAATCTTTTTAATAATATCGAAGCCAATATTTTATATGTAGTGTTGATTAGTGAGATTCCTCTGTAATTCATGCATGATTCCTTTTTTCCTTTCTTGTGTATTGGTACAATAATACTACCACACCATTCTTTCGGCATTATTTCTTGTTGCCAGGCCATTTCTATTAATTGATGGATTTTACTTATGAGTTATGACCGCCTGTTTTAATTAACTCGGCATCAATATTGTCCAGACCAGAGGATTTATCGTTTTAAAGCGTTTTTATGGCATGCGTAATTTCTTCCATGCTTGGTGGGGGTATTTCTAATTCGACCGTTTGATACTCATGTTCTCCGTTATTTCCACCATTTCCATTGTTTTCATCAGTGAAGTTTTGGATATTCAGGAGTTCTTCAAAATATTCAGCCCATCTTTCTATTATTTTGTTTTCGGCGCCAGCATTTCTCCGTTTTTATCTCTTACGAAGTTTTTTGTTTTTTTTTCGTTCTTCCGATAGATTTCTCTGCTGCTTCTGCAATAGTCGTTTTTATGGAGTTCCATCGCTGATCTATATCTTCACTTTTATTTTCATTTATTTCCAAAACCTATTTCTTAATTCTACTTGGTACTGTCTTCGATTATTTTCTTCTTTCAGCTTCGCCACATTCCATCGTTCGATCTTTGTGTGTTTATCTATTGTTTGTGTTGAAATTCATGTTCTGAGCTTGGCCTTTACGAGAAAATGGTCTGTGTCGCTGTCCAGCCTAATCCAGCCTAATCGTTCTTACACTTATTATGCTGCTAGAATGTCTCCCATCAATCAATACGTGATCTATTTGATTATTTGTTCTTCCATCGTTTGATCTCCATTTTGCCTTGTGGATCTTTTTTCTAGCGAACTGGGTGATTTTGATGGCTAAGTTGCAACCTGTCGCAAAATCGACCAAACGTGATCCATTATCGTTTGTAACTTCATGTAGACTATATCTTCCTGTTACCGGTATTATGTAGTCTTCTGTGCCTACCTTTGCGTTTAGATCACCTAGTATTATTTTAATATCGTGGTTAGGAGCTTCTGTGTAGAGTTGATTCAGAGAGTCGTAGAATTCATTTTTTTCATCCTCTAATGCGTCTTCGGTTGGTACATACACTGAAAATTTAGTTAAATTGGACCATTTACCTCTTAATCTTATGATGCAGATTCGTTCGTTTATTGGTTTAAAGTCTAATAACTCTGATTGTAATCTTTCATGTATTACAAAGCCACATCTTCTTTCATGTCGAGTTTCATGTCCAGACCACAGTACTAATGACTTCTCCATGTGTATTGTTCCAGACCCTGTTCATCTCATCTCCTGAATGGCTACTACATCATCGTTCAAGTTTTCTAGTTGTTTTATCGCTGTCGTGGCAATTCCAGGTCTGTACCAACTTAGTACATTCCATGTTCCTAATAGAATATTCTTTGTCCGTAGCTTTCTTCGTTTGTTTTTATAGTCTGTCCTATTCCGAGGCAATACTATTCGTTTCGTAGCAATATTTTTTTACTTTTATGGGTCGCTGGTCCGTAGCAAAACCTACTTTTCGGAGGACCATGTTCTCCCTTCCTCGTTCGCCCTGACCCTCCTTCCATTGGGGTTGGTTACCAAATCTCCAACAAGGTTGCCCAGGTTTCCGGGGTCCACCCGTGTGGTCAAGACCACACTTCATGGAGGTGAGGATAGGAATTGAGTAGGAGAGGCTAGATATGCTAACTGGAAACAGCATCTTATAATGCGTTTCACTACTCCCTAGAACCCGGAGTTGTAGATTCTAGACCTTATAATATAATGAGTTTGTCAAACATACCTTATACAAATATTGCTAGGTTCCGAGATACCGAGTGTTAAAAGTTTAAATATGGATTTTAATTTTCGCAATAATTGTGTATGTTTTCACAATTTATATTTAGAATTGATAATTTTACGTTTTTTTTTGCGCGAGGATTGTTAATTTAGTTTGATTAATATAACTAGATCACTTATCAAGTTATTGGCGTCTAAAAAGTCCAATGAATTTTAATTTTACAATATTCTCTAAATTTTTAACAACAAATTAATATAATTAAAGTACGAAACCAAAAGTAAATGTCCAAAATGTCTTTAAAATATATTTCTCTCTTAAATTTTATTCGATTTCTGATACACACAATGACTAGGCAGTGTATTTTTTAAATTATTCAGTTTTTATACAAATATACCCTCATGAAATTATTTACTACTTAAGTATAGTTTATTGTTTAAAATTATTGTCTAACGAATTTTTTTACTTGGTTTAGTTGGGCCCGGAGATTTCAGAAGAAGCTTTATTACAAGACGACGAGGAAGAGGACGAAGAAGATAGATCCTGGAGACGATAGTAGAAGGATAATGAAATTATTATTTTTTTACCATATCGACAGTTCAGCTTTTTTAAGTTAGTACTAAACAACTGTCGAGTGTGATGAGTTAGAATTGGGTTTGACTGTTTTTTACTGGCTGTATCCAGCCAATAATTTTATGTACAAAGATACTTGTTATACATAATAAATATTAGTTTTTTTTAAACGATATCAGTGGAAAGTAGACATGCTAGGAATGAATTTATCTAAACTTTAAATTAAAAAAAATGTGATTCTTTAGATTTATGGTCTGTTACTAATTTATATTAGAATTAAATACATATTTTTTAATTTATTAAAATATTTTTTAACATATCTTCAGTTAATTGTCAGAAATTATTGTATATTTTCCTCTTTCTTTATACTTTATATAATTATTGCTATATAGTAAGTCAATGTAGTAAATAAGTAGTTATTAAAGTTAATAATTTATTAGGTAAGTGTCGAAGTAATGATTATTCGATTGAGCTATTGATTCTTTGTATTTTCAATATTAATTACAATATTGCCTTTATTTGCTCTTCTTCATTTATAAAGAAATTACGGGCCGTGTACTATAAATTTTATTATTGTTCTGAAGCTATTTCTTGTGGCATTGTAAATTAATTACTATTTATAACTGGGAATAAGCCACATTAAAGATAAAAATACATTTATTGACGTTTCAATTTCCAATTCGGAAATCGTTCTCAAAATACAAATAGTAAATTAAACAAATTTTGTTTTTTGTTACATAGTGAAAAAATTCTTCTGATAATTTAATTTCATCTGACTCATTTATATTGACAATTCAGACATACATTATGCATTTTAAAGTAGACGACTTTAAAATGATATTGCCAATATTGTTGAGTTGCGCTCCTGGGACGACTTTACTTATAAGATAGTTCATTCGATTACATGAAATCAACTTTAACTTGAGAATATCCGTCAGAAAAAATCATAGCATGTAATTCGTCTTTAAAAAGACAAACACATGACATGATGACAGTAAAATTCTCCTGTTAGTGATTCCATAGTAAATTATGAGGGAAAAACCAGGAAAAAAAACCTCATAATACTATCCCGACATTGTAAGTATTTGTTCGTGAATTTAGTTTACCTTCAACAAACATCAAAATTCTGATTTTATGTTACGTTATTTAAAAAACATAAATGATGTATCCTCTATATGTTACTGACTTACTAATGCTGGTATTTTCTTATTAATAACTTCCTCTTTCAATATTGGTAACCAGATCCTACTACATTCTGCCGAGGAATTTGCGACACAATTGGCCTCATTTAGCATAATTAGAGCCGCTTCTTTGATTTTTCTTTTTTTACCATCCGTTTCTTTTAGGACTATATTTGAATTATTCCATTGAACTCTATGTTCATTATCCCATGCGTGTTTACATATTTGAGATCTATCAAATTCTCTATTTTTAATATAAGATTGATGTTCACTTATTCTAACATTTAATGATCGAATAGAACAGAACAACTTAGAACGAGATCCTACAGCATACACAAGGAATAATATGAGGAAAATAACAATACCGTACATAAAAGGATTATCAGAAAAACTTAAAAGGATAGGAAATAAATTCAACATTTCAACAACATTCAAAACAACAAACACGTTGAGATCTATTTTGTCCAAAACCAAACCTAACAATGAACAAGAAAGGACAAAGAATTGCATTTATAAAATACCTTGTGAATGCGATCAGTTTTATTTAGGTGAATCATCAAGGCCATTAAATGTTAGAATAAGTGAACATCAATCTTATATTAAAAATAGAGAATTTGATAGATCTCAAATATGTAAACACGCATGGGATAATACATAGAGTTCAATGGAATAATTCAAATATAGTCCTAAAAGAAACGGATGGTAAAAAAAGAAAAATCAAAGAAGCGGCTCTAATTATGCTAAATGAGGCCAATTGTGTCGCAAATTCCTCGGCAGAATGTAGTAGGATCTGGTTACCAATATTGAAAGAGGAAGTTATTAATAAGAAAATACCAGCATTAGTAAGTCAGTAACATATAGAGGATACATCATTTATGTTTTTTAAATAACGTAACATAAAATCAGAATTTTGATGTTTGTTGAAGGTAAACTAAATTCACGAACAAATACTTACAATGTCGGGATAGTATTATGAGGTTTTTTTCCTGGTTTTTCCCTCATAATTTACTATGGAATCACTAACAGGAGAATTTTACTGTCATCATGTCATGTGTTTGTCTTTTTAAAGACGAATTACATGCTATGATTTTTTCTGACGGATATTCTCAAGTTAAAGTTGATTTCATGTAATCGAATGAACTATCTTATAAGTAAAGTCGTCCCAGGAGCGCAACTCAACAATATTGGCAATATCATTTTAAAGTCGTCTACTTTAAAATGCATAATGTATGTCTGAATTGTCAATATAAATGAGTCAGATGAAATTAAATTATCAGAAGAATTTTTTCACTATGTAACAAAAAACAAAATTTGTTTAATTTACTATTTGTATTTTGAGAACGATTTCCGAATTGGAAATTGAAACGTCAATAAATGTATTTTTATCTTTAATGTGGCTTATTCCCAGTTATAAATAGTAATAAATTTTATTGTCCAAGTCATATTAAGTTGAGACAGTCTGTACTATTCTAGTTGTTAAGAGTTTGAAACTATTCAAGTAACTAATTCTCACATCTCTCTTTAAAAATTCCTAGGATAGTTCTGGTTTCTCATTTCAACACTTGGTGTTTTATTTTTGTTTACTTGTTAACTAGTGTTTGGTGATCAACAATTATTGTACTTATTCTTTGGTGTACTGTAAATATGTGCAGTTTATTCAGTATAAGTATAGTCTAAAAATATCAATTTTGAATTGGACGTGCGCACAAGGTATTCATACGTAATTTCAATAACTTGCCTGTTCTCGCTTAGTGTATTTCACTCTCTGCAAAAGTACAGTTAAGCATAGAAGTTCAAATCGAGGTTCTATAATTTTTTAAGTTATGTACCAGAGTGGTTATTTAATATTATCCAGGAAACCGTTCAAAAATAAAATTCAAGGGTAAAATACGCCCAAATTGACCCTTTAATTGATGACTTTCATCGGATACATACCTTGATCTGACCATTGTATGACGACGGTATTTATTTTACTATAAGTTTCTTACTGCTCATTTTACATTATAATTGGTTGTATTATTTCAGGGACGGACTAGCCCGCATGATAGTTTTAAAAAAATTCCCCTATAAAAGTGTCTTAATTGCTCCCGATTTTCCGTTTGATTGATTCATTCGTGCAAAGCAACTAATTAAATGCAACTACATAGTATAAGAGTAGTTCATCTCACAATTAGCCTAACATATACTACTGCAGTTTTCTGAGTTCGCTAACTTCATTATAAATATCGAAGTGGGTGCGGACTGTTGCGCCACAGAATCTTTCATAACGAAACCAGTGAGTCCAAGAAACAGCGCCCTTACACTGTAGGTTTTGGGATAAAATAGTGAGCGCCAACTGCTATATAACAAAAACTGTGGACTCAACAAATGACGCGCAAATCAATCACCTGATTTGAAACTGTTACATCGAATTTTGTACTTTAATTTGATATTTTTTTATATATTTTATATGACTTATTTTTTCATATAAAAAATAATTCGTAAAGAGATGAAAGTAAGAAGGACAGTTCGCTATTCCTAGCAGAGGCGGATTACCATATTTGCTGCACATTCTATTTTTGAGACAGCCTCTTTTGAAAGAGTTTAGACCCACCTAATTGGGATCAAAAACATATTAAGTTAATTAATTAACAGATACAGTACATTATGCCACGATGGAGTACAACTAAAGAATAGTCAAAATCGTAAGTAAATTAACAGCCGAGACGAAGCCCATTTAGGACAGTCTTAGTTTACTCTCGAATAGTATATGTTAGTTATTTATTTGGTTAAATTAAATATATATCCCATGAAAACTCTTTCAGGATGTATTTCATCTTTGCTGATAACAGAATTATTGGATACAATTTTAAATTATCTTCGTTTTCCAATCCCATGGATCACTTGTCATTAGGGGTTATTGGTTTATAATTTCTTATCTATGTTTGGTTTAAGAACCTGTAATTTTCTCCTTAAATTTATAATGTTTGAATGTCTGTTGTCTAATATCGACTCATCATATTCTATGTAAAACTGCTATCTAATGGGCAAATGGACAATTATATAAGTACTTTATAATTTTTCGTGTTTTATTACATTTGTATTTTTTATATGTCGATTATATTTATAATGTTCGAGATTACGGTGTGATGTTCTAAATTAAAAGATTGCATATCCACTAGTGAGTGTGGGTAAAGTGTATGTGTGTTTAACCCGGTCCAGTCGCGGATGTTTTCCGGCCAGAATATTTGTCGTCTACCAGGAGTCCGTTTTCCTTCGATTTTATCCTTCATAATCAACTTTAACTTTAACATCAATAGTAAAGATCCACATATATATTAAATACGCCAATTTTACTGGTTCCTAAATAACGCTTCTAAATTAATTATGTATCCTTTTTACCAATTTATAACAACTTTCTGATGTCGCTTCGATAGTCAGGCTGGCCCTGTGATTGGACAGTGGGTTGAACCGCGTCGATTATCATTGCGCCGACCTGTCGACAGCCTCCTTCAGAGTTTCCGAGGTTCAGTCTCTCGAGCCCCCAGATTTAAATATATTAGAGCTTTGCGTTTGACCTAATATCAAGCTTTTTGTGTTAGTTTCTTTTATCAAATTTAATAAGTTAACATATTTGTGGTGCATACAATTTTTCGTATTTATTTTTTTTTCCAATGAAACGCGTGTGGTTGGTTCTTATTAATGAGGCCATGAGGTCAGCTGAAGTGAGGTTAGTGATATATTCTGAAAATTAGAATCACAAGATGTAAACGTTGAAAGTCTCAAACTAAATAAATTTGTAAAAAGATTCTGGAATTGTTTTCTTGTGGCATGTCTAAGTATTATGTATTATGTTTTTATGAGATTAAACCACAATTGATCGTAATGAGAATTAAATTTTTGACTGATGTGCTGTTTGGCGTTTCGATTTCCACTCCGGAAATGGTTTTCAAAAAAATTCTCTCAAAAACAGAGTATGGTAAGTAGAATGGAAAGATGTACATATATCAATAATCATGAAGCTGAAATAAAAAAGAGAGATGCTGACAAATATGCAGCTCCAATCTTATTTAATAAAGAGAAAGGTGGAGCAAACCCACCAGCAGAATGTAGGAGGATCTGGTTGCCAATA